ATTAATTAATATAGGTTTTGTTTACAATGTTAATGAGACAGATAAAATAGAAAACTTACTAGTTCAAAAAGGACAGTTAATTTTAAATTGCATTTCTGAAAAATGCCAAAGCTTATCTTTTTTAGAGAAAGCAAGGTAACAAATTTACATTGCAAAGCAAAGTACGTGAGACTTTTCAAGGACACAAATTTACATTGCAAGGCAAGTATGCAAGCCTTTTTAAAGAAATGAAGAGAACGTATTCTTCTCTAGCCAGATCAAATGGAGCAAATCTTCCCAAATATTTTGCTGTAATTTAGCTGGGCACTTGATTTGTTGCACCTTGGCATTGCCGTTTCCGAGTGATCTTAAGGCCAAAGGCACAATTTGGATCTTGTGACCCCTAACTATTAGCTTGAAAAGCAGGCAGAAAGAGTTGCCATATATACAGACAAAACTCTCATGCATATGCACACACATACATCCCAAAGAGACGTCTCAACCAAATTAGCTGGTCTAAGTTGTAACTTGTCATACTCCACACCTATAGTACCAATCAACGGCATGGAATAGAGGGCATCTGTGTTGTGCATGCCAACAGGATTGGAGGGCTTATTCAGATTGCTGGTACTCAACTAAATGTCTAACCAAGCAAACAAAGAGAAAAGAGGAGCAGTGGGGTCATCCAGTTCAGCTTAGTCCCAATCAGTGGGGCCAATTATTCCATTAACAGTAATTGATAAAAGCAGTTCTCCCCACCATTTTCAGCATAAAGAAGAAAAGTACCAAACAGATTTAAATCATAAAAACAAAGCCTAGCCAGGAGCCCTCCAGGGTGCACTTAAACAGAAATGGATATAATCCAACTGAACAGAAGAGGGCTCAGAAAATCAGAGAAAGATAAAGAGAATAAAGCATTTCCTTATCAGAATTTAGGCCAGGGACTCCAGGAGAGATCTACCAGCAACAGAGACATGGGAGCAAAATAGTCCCAGTGGCCACTTGCCTCTTGCAGCTGGGGTCTTCTCTGGTGCCCAAAGCTTTCCAATTTTTGCCAGTAATTAAATTAGGCTCTCAGATTCCAGTGTCATAGAAATGTATAACTAGCACAATAAAGCTCAGAGACACAGGATGGCAGATACTTATCATGCCTCACTATTACATTACAGATGACCACAGTTTAAGACATACAAAGCTATAAAACGTATATGCACACCCAGCAACACACAAAAGACAAAGACAAGTGGCCACAACAAATTTCCAAACAAGACCAAACCAAAGGACCCAACAATGTCTCGCGGGAGTCCTGGACTTGGGAAGTAGTGCTGCATCCAGCCTTCCACGAAGTCCCTAAATCAGAGCTCTGATACCCAAATGCAAAACAAGACTCACAACAACATAAACTCATGAGGTTAATATAAAGACAAACACAAAGACAATACACAAGTTTGGCCACCAAGGGAGGCCACCAAGTGGACCGCAGCGACATCTCGCTGGGTCCAGGGAAGAAGCGTGACTGCGTCCAGTCTTGCTTGATTTCCCCACCAAAAGAGTCGACTCACCCAAATCTAGAGGCCCCAGGAAATCTTAAGTTGGTCAACAAAAGATCTTGTGCCTCTGGGGCTGAGGAATGTCTTCTCAGGAGCTTCCCCCTAGAGACTTCGCAGTGTGGGGAAAAATCCCAGCACTGTAGGTCGGCCCCCGAGGGGTGATAGTGATCCCAGATGAGCTCCCAAATGTTATAGGCATTGGAAGAAAATCACCCTTGGAGACTGATATAGAAAAAGAGAAAAAGATTTTTATTTCCAGTGGCTGGGATCATACCAGCCAATTCAAGGTGCGGTGCAAACCATCTTTGTTCTAGGTTTTAAAAGATGCAAGCGCAGCAAGTCGGTCGCCCGATCACCGTGCCAAGAGGTATTAGCCAATGCAAGCAAGCCAACAGTACATGAGCTAATTTTGCAGTTAGTGGAACTCCTCCCGTCCCACCCCCACTTTCCCACCTAACTTTCACACAATGGAGTGGCTATCTTGAGTGGTGTCGGTCCTGCTCTTAGAAAGAGGGCATTACTTCAGTGCAAATCCTTGGCGTGTGTAAATTCCATCAATCTTCACATCAAACCCCCTAGAAGTTAATATGATCTTCCCTGTACAGATGGGAAAAGTAACCTTAAGTGTTTGATATAAGAGTGATTGTGTTGAGAAGGTAGAAATGAGTTCCATTTCTCACACACAGAGTTTGAGTTGATAACTGTAATGCCTCATGTGTTGATCAAAATAATATATCCATTAGAGAAGTCCAGGTTAGGGATAGACAGTGGTGATCATTTACAGCTGTTGCAAATAGAATGACCACAGATGTAATCTCTGACAGGCAGAATGGGGCTAGAAGAGAGGAGAGCTGAGCCAGTGGAGGACAGAGCCAGGGAGAACATCTGGGTTGGTGGAGGTAAGGAAGAAATGGAAGGTAATGTGTGAGTGATGAAAATAAGTCAACACAGTAAGTCTCCTTAGAAATCATCTACAGTATCTGAAGAGTTCTAGAGGCTGGGAAGTGAACAGAGAAGAGAGTCTGGCTGCAGACTCTGTTGTGCAAGACACTATGGGAGAGAAGGTTACTGTTGTTTTTATCCACTTGTTTTTTTTTCATTTATTCACCATACTGAGTCTTTGCTTTCCTCTGAAGCAGCTGATAGACCCATGACAACAACCCCCACTGCTGCCTTCCAGGCCCTCATGAAAGGGGTGACAAGCTGGGATGTCCCCAAAGGCCCCATCCCCAGTGAACTGCTTCTTATTGGAGAGGACAGCTTCCCAGTGATGGTGAGTGACAAGGGCCAGGTGCTCATTGCTGCCTCCTGCTACGGCCGAGGCCACCTTGTTGTTGTATCCCACAAGAGCTACCTGGAGCATGCTGGCTTGGCTCCATTTCTTCTCAATGCAGTGGGCTGGCTCTCTCCCTCCGCTGGGGCTTCCATTGAGGTGCACCCATCCCTGACACTGCTAGCAAAGATCCTGCAGGACTCTGGGGTTAAGTCACATATTGTGCAAGAACCGGGAGAGCCCATGGGGGTTTTCTGCACCAATGCCTATGAAGACACCATGGTTATGAAGCTGATCCAGTTTGTGAAACGTGGAGAGGGCTTGCTCATCGGGGGCCGCCTGGTTTGGGGCCGGTCAGCAAGGCCATAAAAAGGTGTTCTCTAAGTTCTCTGGGAACCAGGTGACCACTGCGGCCAGAGTGTACATCACTGACATCTATGGGGATGTAAACAAAATAGAGGTCTCCAAGAAGGTACCCAGCGTTTCACTCTATGCCACGTGAGTGGTGCTTCCCTAAGAAGTCTGATCTTTGTCAAATAGCAGTCCCACTCCCTATTTTTAAGGAGCTTTCAGTCTAGCAGAGGAGAAACTGGTCATTATAACATGGAATCATTGCAAATTACTAATGTAATTATAAATGACCTGTGGTAGATAAGGAACAATATTCTCTATTTGTTTTCTATTATGGACTGAATATTAAATGCTTTGAAGGCAGAGCATTTTGTTCTGTTTTATTTACTATTGTGCCTCCAATTTTGACCAGTTAGAAAGAGATGGTAGGTAGGTGGAGAAATTTTCTATAAAGTTCATGGGAGACAGGAATTATATCTGTTTTGCTTATATATCACTAGCACACAGTGTAATACCTGGCATAAAGTTAGCGCTAAACAAACACGAATGAATGAATGAATGAATGAATGAATGAATGAATGAATGAATGAATGAATG